AATGGTATCAGGAGCTCAATGGGAAGTTCAACAGGTAGAAAACATAACAAAGAACCAAACGGAAATTTGGGTGCTAAAGAACACGATGGCTGTACTGAATAATCCAACAAAGAATTCGAACAAAACTTGAACAACCGAAAGAAAAAAGAGGTGAGCTTGAAAACGGATGAATTGAAATTATCCACTCAGAGGAGCAAAAGCTAAAAAAATAAAAAATAAATAACTACAAAAGAAAGAAGAAAGCCTATAGGACCTTATAAGACACATGAATAGAAACAGCATATTCATCACTGGAATCCAGACAGGAGAAGAAGGGAAGGAGCAGAATGCTTATTTAAAGAAACCCTGGTGGGGGCGCCTGGGTGGCTCAGTCGGTTAAGCAGCCGACTTCGGCTCAGGTCATGATCTCGCGGTCCATGAGTTCAAGCCCCGCGTCAGGCTCTGTGCTGACAGCTCAGAGCCTGGAGCCTGTTTCAGATTCTGTGTCTCCCTCTCTCTGACCCTCCCCTGTTCATGCTCTGTCTCTCTTTGTCTCAAAAATAAATAAACGTTAAAAAAAATTTTTAAAAAATAAAAAATAAAGAAACCCTGGTGGAGGGGGCGCCTGGGTGGCTCAGTCGGTTCAGCATCCGACGTCAGCTCAGGTCATGATCTCATGGTTTCTGAGTTCAAGCCCCGTGTCGGGCTCTGTGCTGACAGCTCAGAGCCTGGAGCCTGCCTGGGATTCTGTGTTTCCTCTCTCTGCCCCTCCCCCACTCACACTCTGTCCCTGTCTCTGTCTCTCAAAAGTAAATAAACATTAAAAAAAAATTTTTTTTTAAAGAAATCCTGGTGGAGGGGCAACTGGGTGGCTTGGTCGGTTAAGCATCCAACTCTTTATCTCAGCTCAGGTAGTGATCTTATGGTTTATGAGTTTGAGACCCACATCAGGCTTTGTGCTGACAGTACAGAGCCTGCTTGGGATTCTGTCTCTCCCTCTCTCTGCCCCTCCCCTGTTTGCTCTCTCTCTGTCTCTCTCTCTCAAAATAAATAAACTTTAAAGAAATCCTGATGGAGAATTTCTCACATCTGGGGAGAGAGTTGGATGACCAGGTTCATGAAGCTCTTAGGTCACTCTAAAGTTTCAATTCAGAATGATCTTCCCCAAGATACATTATAATAAAACTGCCTAAAATCTAAGGCAATTTTTAAAGCAGTGAGAGGAAAACAATGATCTGATATAAGGGAGCTCCCACAAAGCCATCAGTGGATGTCTTGGCAGAGGTCTTACAGACCAGGAGAGAGCTGGACGAGACATTCAATGCGCTAATGAAAGATACTGCAGACCATGAATGCTTTACCCACAAAGTCGTCCTTCAGAAAGGAAGGCAAGATAAATACTCTCCCGGACAAACAAAAGCTTAGGGAAATTTTTTTTAGGGCTTGTATATTTGGTTTTAGAAATTAACCCACTGTTTACCCAGCCAGCACGATATTGTGCAATTGGTATTTTAAAACTCTGTAGTTTTCCTTGTGTCTCACATAAACCTAAATATATTCTGTTGTCTTGTTTAGCAATCATGTTTTAAACATTTTTCCCAAACTCTAAAAAAAATTAATGTTTATTTATTTGTTTTGAGAGAGAGAGAGGCAGCGAGAGAGGGACAGGCAGACCCCTAAACAGGCCCCACACTGTCAGCGCAGAGCCCGACTTGGAGCTCAAACTCACAAACCATGAGATCGTGACCTGAGCCGAAATCAAGAGTTGGTGCTTAACCAACTGTGCCACCCAGGTGCCCTGCAAACTCTAAATTTTTTAATTTAACTACAACTTATTTTAGATTTTAATAACTTTATTCTAACTTAAAATAATTTCTATTTTCTTAAAAAAAAAAAAAAGGAGCCAACCTATGCTGATTACTATAGCTGAGAGGTATTGGTTGATTTCAAAATGAGAAACATATTTTCGGGCATGTCTGACCCACCGGGAGAGTAGATAAGCCAAAAGGCCATTTGCCTGAAGGCCTGGAGTGTCCTTGAAGATAACTCTTGGTGAGAGAGGAAGAGATCAGGCCTGAGTTCAAGGCCTGAGTTCGAAGTTCCGGATGTTTGATCACAGAGAGATTCTGATCAGAGCACAGACTCAGACTTCAGATAGATCCCACAGCTCAGCCTCCACTGGACTCAGGGCTTCAGCTTGTAAAACCTGAAGGAACTGTTGTAACAAGACTCAGTTCAACTGAGTGGAACTGTGGAACACAGCTCTAAGTTGAAAGCCCTTTAACCCACAACTCAAACAGAAAAGAGGATTTCTCTTCCAGTTTGAGGGTTGTTGTTTTTTTTCATCTTCCCTTTTTTTTTTTTTTTTTTTTTTTTTTTTTTTTTTACTCTTGTGTTCCTGTGTGTTTTCTGTTTTTTTGGGTTTTCTCCTGTTTTGTATAACTGTTTCCATTTTTACAGTTTTTACACACACGACATCTTCAGAGAAGGCTACATGTTGATTCCTTATTCACTTTTTACTGAATGAGACCCATTGCTTTTATGTAATTTTGATATTTAATTGATTTGCACGTAGTGTACGTTGGGAGAGACCCATTTTCTTAGTTTCAAGATGGCGGAGTATTGCAGATGCTCTGTCTTTATGCACTGACACAATAAAAACCCATTTAAAGGATGAAAGGAGGATAGAAACCCTTGAAGATAGATCTCCGGGGATAAACAGTTCCAAGTTGGAGGTCACGTTGGAACAGCTGGACCCCCATCTCTCTTTCTAATGCTTCTGATGCTTTCCATGTTTAAAAGTTGCTCATGGGGTCAAAATTCTGGAATGGGGAAGAACTGAACTTATATCACATTTGTTCAAAATGTAGCTGTTTCAGCTGGATTTAGAATGTCATTTACCTGCTTCCAAAATGACAGTTGTAGGCTCCTAAAAGTCACCCGAGAATTTGGTAGCCAAATTGAACTGTATTTTCTCTGCCTTGTTCACACCCACGGAGGACACAGTGAATAAAGGCTGAAAACAAAACTACCCCAAACATAGGATTCATTCTGAAGAGACATCAATTCTTTTATTAATAAATCTGTGTGATATTCACAAGTTAATTAATCCAGTGTGGGAGTTGATCTTACCCGAATATATTGGAGCAAATGCGAGTAGATTTCCCAACTTATAGTGAAATCACAGAACAATTTTGAATCTCAAATCCGGGAGAGAATGTTTTAAAGAGACCAGTTACCAATTACCAGCGACTGATGTCATTTCTTCGGATGGTGGTGAGGCTTTGTCCCTGAATGGGCAAGAGGACACTGAAATATGGCACTTCTTTTTTTTTTTTTCCCATTCATCAGGAACACTCACCAATAAATTAAAACACCTGAATGTCAGTTCTGGTGTTACCACAACCCACCTAGGTAACGTTGGCCAATCATCTAATGCCTTCGCATTTCTAAAAACAAAAGATTTGTCTTTTTTTCTAGCTATGTGACATCGAGAAGTCCCAAAAGGGCAGCGATGGGAGAGCCAGACTCTGGCTCTGCAGAACTGGAGAGTGAGTGCAGAGGGTACTGGAGACACGGGGATCCTCAGAGCTAGACGGCTGTCCCTGCTGTCCTGAACTAGGTCAAAGGGCCCCTCCTTAGCGAGCATCTGATCGGCCTGGTGGGAATGTTGAGGTGGGTCTGAATAAGAGCCTCCGGCTTCCCCCACAGCACCTGTGCAGCCGGCCCAGCTTGGGTGAGGCCCAGACTGTGGGTGGTACTTTCTCACAGACCCATCAGTCCTGTTCTGGCCTGGGCTCCTTGGCCAGCCACATTCCAGAAGGCTGTAAGTTAGTCTGCTTCTCTGCTCCACTCTAAGGAGCTAATGTAGGGGTAAAGAAATATATGACTTTAAATAAGGTGTTTTTTCTGACATGTGAACACCTTCTTTCTCAAAACGACAGCACGTCTATCCTCCTGGCCCGTTCAAACAATAGTAAGGTAAGGAGGGGTTCGCGTGACCACACAGTACCTCAAACTGGGACATTTAGCTCATGCAAATAACTAGGCTGCAACTCATTCTAGTTATAGGAGACGATTTAATTACCAAGTATCCATCTGATTAATCTCTCGGCAATTAGCCAGTGGTTACGACCCCACATGAAACTTTTTTCACGTGTCTATTTAATGGAGCCACATTAAAAAAGGGTCTAAACGTGGAAGATGCATTTTCCTCCAACCAATGATCTCACTCATCACTAAAAAAGAGGGAATGTCCTGTAATTTTCTGACATGTTAAATAGAACTCCTTATAAGCTACATTGATCTTCAATAAAAGGACCGATCATTGAAACCCTAGAAGGTGGCTATCAAAACTTGTAATGCGTTCTGCAGACTGGATGCCACCCTTGGAAGAGAGATTGAAAACCTTCGAGGAGAAAAGAAAAAGGGGAAGCGGCAGCTGGGTGGCTCAGTCACTTAAGCGTCCAACTTTGGCTGGGGTCATGATCACTACCATGATTTGCATTGGGTTTAAATTGTCGAACTCTGTGCTTGACAACTCAGGCCTGAGCCCTCTTCAATTCTGTCTCTGTCTCTCTCTGCCCCTGCCCCCACCCCTCTCTCTCTCAAAAATAAATAAACATTAAAAAAAAAAAACTAGGAATAAAAGAAAAATGATCTTCCCTATGGTTCTTATTTCCTGATGATGAAGAACAGGGGTTTTATGGGCCGTATCACGTGCACATAATTCCAGGTTGCATCAAAGAAAGTTCCCCACACCTAGAAGGTGAGGATTGGTGAGTTTGAGCCGTGTGAGCGGTAGGAGGAGCCTGGTGGCATTGGGACATCCTCAGCCACGTTGCCAGTCCACTTGGTGTTCTTTCCTTCCTATCAATCAAGCTTGTTGAATCTGTCTCAGAATTTGGGGGAAGCATCCTAGATGGGACACTCAGGAAACAGTGTTTAAACCTCCAGATCCTTCTGACATTAGAACCGGTTGTTCCATTGCCGGGAAAAAACACACGTGCAGATGTTGGATCATGTCAAAACTCTTGTCAAGAGTGTGGATTGTCTCACACAGGACGGAGATGTGGCTTCTGATTGTGGTGGCATATTTGTTCCAAAGAAACGTGAATTCGGGAGGTATGCCGACTAAAGCAGCGGACCCAGAAGCATTCATGAATATTGTAAGTTGGCATTTTCCACGCTTGGGGGGAAATGACGTGGCTCCCACGTTAACTTTTGCACTGCGTATTATCTGCATTATATATTATATTTATGTGTGGTCGTGACTTTTGCTGGCAGAGCGTAATCATGGACCAGTACACGGTACTGGGAAGAAAGCCAGTGAGTGAGTAAGCCTGCATTCTCCTTGAACAAATTCAGTGAATTTGGGCGAGTGGCTTAATCCTTCTGCTTGGAGCACAACTTAACTCTTTCCTGGATTCTTAGGCTCGTTCTAGGAGCAGAGAAACCACTGTGGTATCTTGAGCCACACCCAGACCCTTGATTGTTGCCATCTCGTGTGGATCAGAAGGGTCTCGCTTCTCACTCCTTACTGTCAGGACACCTGCTCCTCGTCACATCCTGTGCCCGTTCTGGTCTATTCTCCTTACCCTCTTTTGGATTGGTCACTCGGTTGGCTGGCAATAAGAGGGCCCGGAGGAAATCTAGACAGGGGTAGAACTCATGAACGGCGTGACGACTTTTTAAGCATCCCAGAGAAGTCTTCAGCTCACTTTCGAGCTCTTAGTTGAGCTCAGCAGCGCCCCTCATCAAGTTGTGCGTATCCCGTCGCAGATACTGTCATGAAAACGGCAGAGGGGCCGTGTCCTCCTCACTGCCCCCCTGCAGTAGGTAGGATCATCCCCGTATTTCAAATCAAGAAACAGAATAAAGAGGCTATGAGGAGCATCCGTTGGGCCACACCACTGGCAGGCAGCATAGCTTCAACTTCAGTCCAGGCCTGCCCGAACACAAGCCTCATCACTCTAACCACTGCACAGTGAACCCTCCCAGGTGAGGAGAGGCTCCTTCCTCCCTCCTGGCCCGGCGAAGGTCCCACACACATTCCTCTGAGTAATTAGAGGGAATCTCTCCAGCCATAGACAGAGCCGGTCTCCCTGGCCTCACCCACTGGGTGTGCCCAGCGCCGGGCGCCCTTGGGACCTTAGGAGCCCTAATACTAAAATCCATTGAACCCAACTCTGCCATTGAGAGTTCATGAATGGAGAGGCAAAGTAAAGTAGGAAATTCATATGATTACTGGTTTCGATTCAAAGAAATGAAATATAAGCGGTTCGGAGTCTGAACGGATTTGATTCCGTATACTGATTCACACGGATATAATCTCTCCTATGTTTTGGTAGACAGCTGGCTTCATGGGTGTGGTTTTCTAGCTGGTGTTAACTGAGCACCTATTAGGCCCTTGATATGTGCTAATCACTAGGTTACAGACATCTAAGGATACCAAAAGACCCTAGTTCGTGGAGCTATACCGTCCAGCAGGGAAAATAGACACTCAATTGCTAATGACAAGAGCAGTGAAATCAAAGAAGAAAACATAAAATAGGGGGACCCAATCCAGGGAATTCAGGAAGTTTTTTCTGAAAAAAAGGTCTCTTAACCTCACGTCTGCAAAATGAATAGTAGTTACTTGAGAGGGTGGGCGTGATGTTTAGTTACAGTAGTCGCTAATGTGCATTAAACACCTACTATGTGCCAGGTAATCTAGTGAGTGTTATATGTGCACTATCTCTTCACATTCCTTGCAAGAACCCCATGGAGTATAAACCATGGGCATACCTCATTTATAGGTTTATAAACTGAGGAACAAGGACAAGTTAACTAACTTTCCCAAGATCGTACAGCTAGTTTGTGTATCAGTGTTCAAACCAAGATTAAAAGCCAAGCAGTGGGACCTCAGGGACTTTCTCTCCACTACTAGGCTTTTCCTCAGGTACTACGCTGGGCATTTCAGTCCCGGCTTTCTCCTCTATCGGTCCTTTTAACGCAGCAGCTGATAGAAATAATTCCCTCCTCTGGGTAATGACAGTGGGTAGGAATAGTGAAGATACGGAGCAGATTTCTGAAGCCTCGTATTTCACAAAGACCTTCTACATGTGATAACTGTGTAGAGTAGGGGTCCTTAAACAGGGGTCCATACACAGGCAACAAGAAATCAGGAACTCCTGAAAGTATACACAAAAACGTGTTTGTGTGTCCATGTGTGTATTCCTTTTCATAGTTCTCCTCGAATTCACCGAGGGATCCTTGACCTAAAAATGTTCTTGAGTCTGTGGTTTTTATTGTATTGTATTTATGGTATTTATTGTATTTATTGTATTGTATTTTAAAAAGCATGAGCAGGGGAGGGGCAGAGAGAGAGGGAGAGAGAATCTTAAGCAGTCTCGCACCCAGAGCGGAGCCCGACCCAGGTCTCAATCCCGTGACCCTGGGGTCATGACTTGAGCTGAAACCAAGAGTTAGATGCCCAACTGGATGAGCCACCTAGGTGTCCTGAGTCTGTGGTTTTTAGATCTGAAAAGAACCTTAGGAAATTCCATGGTCTAAGGGTTCTCATAAGCTCTCCTGGGACAGATGCCCGCATTGACTGCATTAGAATTAACTGATCCCTAACCTGAAGTGGGCCCAGATAGCCGTACATTTAAGTGCCCCAGATAATCCTGATGTCCACTCAGGCTTTGGAATCAGTATTCTGGTCCAGTGGTTCTTAAACATTAGGGTGAATCAGAATTTCCGAAGGAGCTCGTTAAACCACAAATCCCTCCCAGTTCCCAATTCAATAGTTGTGGAGGGAAACGGATCACTTGTAACTCTAACAAGTGCCCAAGTGATGCTGATGCTTTGGGTCCAGGGCCCACACTTTGAGAACCATTGTTCTGGTCCGTTCTCCACATTAAAGGCAAAGAAAGCTGGCGTTAGTGTTGGTGGCTAGTTTTTCTAAGGTAACATGCTTAACTAGGGAACAGAAGGGACGTCTTGTCCACATCTTCCAGGTCAAGGAATCTACTTAGTACTTTTGAACTATTGAGAGTATAGCCATACAGAAGTGAACTCAAAAGACACTGTGCTTTTTCCTTAGAGTGAAATCATCCAACATCAAGGCTATCCCTGGGAAGAGTATGAAGTCGTGACAGAAGATGGGTATATCCTTTCTGTTAACAGAATTCCTCAAGGCCTAACGAAACTTAAGAAGACAGGTATGGTTCACCCCCATGCCCCTCCAATATGGCAGCCTTCCTTACAGGAATGACTTCCTTGTGATTTGGGTGTGTAGAGGGGAGCCTGTGTTCTTGTTACAGACTGGAGCCCATTGTTCGGGTCAAAAGATAGCTTCACTACCCCCCATAATCTCCATCACAACCACTCCATTAATCCATATATCTCCAATTATCTCAAAGAAACATAGTGGTTGCCTAAAAAACAAAAAAACAAAACAAAAACAAAAACACCTTCCAGGAAGGTCCATTTCTTGACCCCTGCTAGCATATAACCCATCCCCAAACTCCTTTTATATAGACGTTCTAGAATATTCACTGACAGTCTCTTGACCAGACCACACCAGGCCCTGCTCATGAAGAATGCAAATTTCAATATGGCATCTCACGCCCACCCCTGCACACTCTATTCCCCATCCAAACAGCACTTTAAGTATTTGAGATATTGCCCAACTTCTCGCCAAAATTTTTTAAAACTCAGGCAACACGTGTACATTTACAATTTGTTAGACCTTTCTACAATTCATATAATCCCATTCTTTGTATATGGGATTTTCAGCTCATGCTGGTTTTTAAAAAATTCGCGTTCCTTACCAATGAAAGTGTGCCCACCCTCTGCCTCCATTTGGCCCTGTTCCTTTGAATACTCTAGCCCTACGTGTATAACAGCAACTACATTATTTGTGATGAGTACAGATAATATAATTTCATATTGTGCTCTTTCTAAACGCCAGGTACAAGGCTATGTGTTTTATTTGCATTCGTCTCATTTAACTTTCACAATACTCCTAAGAAACTGCCACTCACAGAGCTTAAGTAACTTGTCCAGAAAGCCTGTGCTAGCACTTGCTAGAATGTTGCAAAACCCACACTCAAATCAAGATCCGTCTGCCGCTCTAGCCCACGTTCTTAACTAGAACCAGGGAAGGCTGGGTGAATGCTATTGTCTTTGGTGTGAACAGGCTTTAGGGTTCTGTTTTATTGCAACTTACACTTGTGCAGCTTTTTGAAAACCAACTTGTTTTAAGCCAGCTGCACAACCCTGCCTGATATATCTTCAGCATGCCCCAACCTCGGTGCCTTTGAACTTAACCATGCTCCCTCTGGACCGCTAATTCATCAGATAGCTACACAGTCTGCCCGGGGCCTTTATTTAGGTCCTCTCAATCACCTTCTTTCCCTAACCACCCTTTTCAAAATAGCAGCCCTTTGCCACCTAGCAGGCTCTCACTGCTTTATCCTGCTTCCTTTTCCCTATAGCACCTGTCACCTGGTGGGATAGATATTTACTTATTCACGATCTGTCTCCCCCAACCAGAATGTAAACTCATCGGGAACTGGGACTTTATTCTGTTGAAGGCTACACAGCCAGTGCCTAAAAGAGTGCCACACACGTTCTAGATGCCAATAAACATACGTGGACTGAGTGAATGGATTTTAATGAATTTTATACAAATAAACAAGTAGCCGGGAGTTGCAGAAAGAACTTCTCACCAAGCCCCGCTAATCCTAGGACGTAAACCAGGCACAGCTCTTCTGAGCGATCGAGTGACTGTGGCAGTTCCTAAGCTCACGAATCACCTGCAGTCCCCATTCTTGAATGGAATTTGTTTCCTCACATCCTGTTTACTTAGACTGTTCACTCGTCACACGCGAGTTTGGAGTTCAGTGCATCCACCTGCCTTTTGGGTCCAGTTGACGCAGAATACTCCCCTCTCGTGGCCAGTGTTGTTTCTGCAGCTTCTATTGGCCTCTTCGAGGAGAAAATCCCCTAGGAGGCTAGGTGGTATCCTGATCGCCTTCACTAAAAATGTTCTTTTCTCTCACCACAGCACATTTCTCAAAAGGTAGGAAATTGAATGATTGATGTTATTACCTACTGCATATCCCATATTACAATTATGTCAGTTATACCCAAGTCCTTTATATTTGCTTTTATCCCTGGTCAGTAATCTAATCCAGGGTCGTATGCCACAGTTAGTTGTCATGTTTTGTGTTTCTTTTTTTTTGGGGGGGGGGGGGTTCTCCTTTATAAACTGAACCAATTTCTCAGGTTTTGTCTCTTTGCCTTTGACATTTTTTAAAAGCGTTTTGGACAGTTATTACAGAACGCTCTCTGATTTGTTTTGTCTGGCGTTTCTTCATGATGGGATGCAGCTTATACATTTTGGGGGGAATGCCACAGAAGCAGAGGTGTGCCCTCAATGTGTCATATTTTGGAGCACGTGATAACGGCTTGTCCCGATACTGGTGATACTCGCTTTATTAAAAAATATTCTTCTTTTCTCCCCAGCTTTATGGATGCATAATTGACAAAATTGTATATATTTAAAGTGCACAGTGTGATGGTTTGCTCTGATACATTATGCACTGATCGCCACAAGCAGGTTAATTAGCAAGCACATCCATCACCCCCAAGAGTTACCATTTTATTTTACTTATGGTTTTTTTTTGTAGTGAGAATGCTTAAGATCTATTCTGTTAGCAAATGCAGTATTATTAGCTTGATATTACCTATTATTGACAATGTTATTGATATAACCTATTACCTATTGATAATATTATTGACATTACCTATTATTACCTTCATATTAATATTACTATTAATATTATAGCCACCCTGCTATACATTAGCTACCCAGGAATTGCTCATTTTATAGATGAAGACTTGTACCCTTTAACCAATATTAGCCCATTTCCCCCACCCCTCAGTCCCTGGTAACCACTGTTGTATTCTTTGTTTCTAGGAGTTCAACTCTTTTTTTTTTTTAGATGCCACATATATGTGACATTATACAGTATGTCTTTCCCTGCCTGACTTATTTTGCTTAGCATAATGTCCTCTAGTTTCATCCATGTTTGTCACAAATGGCTAAATTAGACACACACACACACACACACACACACCACATCTTTATGCATTCCTCAGTCAACAGATACTTAGGTTGTTTCCAATCTTTTAATGCTGCAATGGACATGAAAATGTAGATATCTCTTTGAGATTGCACTGGTTTTATTTCCTTTGAACATATACCCAGAAGTGTAGTTGCTGGTTTATCTGGTACTTCTGTTTCTAATCTGTTGAGGAACCTCCATATTGTTTTCCCTAATGGCGGTAGCAATTTATGTTACCACCCAAGTGTACAAGGGTTCCCTTTTCCCCAATGTTCTCAACGTCCTGGTTGCTCCTTCTTTTCTATAACAGCCATTGGAACAGTTGTGAGGTGATAGCTCATTGTGGTTTTGATTTGCATGTCCCTGACGATGAGTGATGTTGAGCACCTTTTCAGGTGCTTGTTGAACATTCGTATGTCGCCTTTGGCAAAATGCCCTTTCAGATCATTTGCCCATTTTTCAATCAGATTGGCTTTTTTTTGCTATTGAGTAGTACGTGTTCTTTTTATTCGGGAATATTAACTGCTTATCAGATACATGGTTTGCAAATGTTAGCTCCCATTCTGTGAGTTATCTTTTCACTATGAGGGCGTTTCCTTTGCTCTGCAGGGGATTTTTAGTTTGACTCAGTCGCACTTGTTCATTTTTGGTTTTGTTGCTTGTGATTTTGGTGTCTTATCCAAAAACATCAGCGCCAAGACTAATGTCAAGGAGATTTTTCCCTATGTTTAGTTCTAGGCATTTTATGGTTTCAGGCTTCACATTTAAGTCTTAATACATTTTGAGTTAATGTTTGTGAATGGCATAAATGACTGGTCCTGTTCCCTTTAGCGATATTAGCTTTCTAACAATTTTGTTAAGGTAGAGCCTGTCAGGTTTTCTACTCTGAATCCAACATTTTCCCCTTTGTAACTAACAAATAATTTTTGAGGAGATACTTTCAGATAATGTAAATATACTATATCTCTCTGAACTTTTACCCACTGATTTTAGCATCCCCTGATGATTTTATAAGGCCATCAATCTTTCCATATTTATTGATATTTTACTGTAAGTAAGAGCTTTTCTTTCCCTCTCTAATTATTTGTTTATTCTTTTATTGATGGGTATCAATATAGTCCTAGGCATTCTTAATGTATTCACTGGGATATAACTTATTGCTATCATTATTTATTTTGAGTCTCAAATGTTCCCATATTTGAGAAGTGGGAACTTCTTCAAGCTGGCTAATGAATCCTTTTGACATGAAGGGCCCATAATCATTAAACCATTACATATACGGTATATGTGAAACATACATCTATATATAATTTTATAATAATACATTATATATACATTTAAAAGTATATGATAGATCATTATATTTGTCATTACATAATTATCTTAATCATGATACTATACTGCCTCCAGGACACTTCCAATGTCCTCTGTGGTGCCCAGACACATCTAGTGATAGTAAAAACTACACAAAGACCACGATGGACGCTGAACTTTATTGATCTCTTCTCTATGCCCGGCATGGCCCCATCTGCCCCTTGTGCACTATTTTACTTAATCATAACAAAAATCCTGCTCTTCTGATGAGGAAATCAAGAAGCAGAGAGGGTGAGTGACCAACCAACACAATCCATCTAGCAAGCAGCTAAATCAAAATTTGAACACAGGTCCTTTGACCTTGAAAGCCCTTACACCCTAGAGGGTAACAAGAAAGGTGGAGAACATTTCACATGGCTGAAATTCTCTCCCGTGTAGGTTCCAAGCCTGTGGTGTTCCTGCAGCATGGCCTGCTTGGAGACGCCAGCAACTGGATTTCCAACCTTCCCAACAACAGCCTGGGCTTCATTCTGGCCGATGCTGGTTTTGACGTGTGGCTGGGGAACAGCCGGGGAAACACCTGGTCTCGGAAACACAAGACCCTCTCCATTGACCAAGATGAGTTCTGGGCTTTCAGGTATACGACAGTGTTGAGAGTGGAGGCGGACATGGATGTCTTTGGGAGAACTGGATAAAGAATATGGCTTCTAGCATTTGGATAATTTACCTTGGTTGGCTCATCAATATCCTACCGTGATGTCCCTCAATTGTTTTAGTTTCACTAGGGGTGCTTTGGGGGGAGGAGTGGGGAAGATCAGGTTTCCCAAGTAGAAGGTGGGTCTGGCTAAAAGTGGTGGTTGTTGTCAGGCGGTTGAGACTGGGAGGAGAGAAGATGTAGGTCCATTTCCTTGTAGATGCACATCCTGGGGCTAACTCCCCCCTGAGTAATGACAAGGACTGATACCCAGAAAGTGATGAGATCAGGCAACATTAAAGACATAAGGGAAACTCGGGGTGCCTGGGTGGCTCAGTCCGTTAAGTATCCAACTCTTTGTTTCAGTTCAGGTCATGATCTCACAGTTTGTGAGTTCGAGCCCCGCACTGGGTTCTGTGCTGACAGCACGGAGCCTGCTTGGGATTCTTTCTCTCCTTCTCTCTATGCTTCTCCCCACTCATGCTCTCGTGCTCTCTCTCTCTCTCAAAGAAAAAAAAAAAGATATGAGGGAAATCATGAAGTCTTAGGGACCATCAACTTAACTGATACATATCTCACACTCTCACGAAAGGTTTTTAATGTTTTTATTTAAAGTACCTATTGGCTTTCAACCTGCTCTTTATCCATGTGATCAGAGAAGGGCCCCGCAGCATTTTCAGTCCTTTCCATACAAATGAATGTGCACGGCCCTGTGCTGTTCTACTGTGTAACAGGACACCTCCACTGGGAGGTATGTCATGTGCTCAGTAAACATCCACGGAAGATGATTACTGCTCTGCGATCACATCTGGAGAAAACAGCAGTGTGCAAATAGCTGGTGGCCCCAGAGGCCCCCATGTGTCCCGGGTGTGAAACAAGTCCACTCTGAGGGTTGTGAGAGGCACAGTAACAGGCCGGTGGGGATGACGCCTCGGGGGCTTGTTTGTAAACCCCGGGGCTGCTTTTGTCGTTTCTGATTGTAATTTTTCATGTAACTTTGTCTTTTCCCCCCTTATAGTTATGATGAGATGGCTAGGTTTGACCTTCCTGCAGTCATAAACTTTATTTTGCAGAAAACCGGCCAGGAAAAGATCTATTACGTCGGCTATTCACAGGGCACTACCATGGGTAGGTTCGAAGGAAAGCAGGTTTGTACAGTCAGAAATGCGGGCATACGGTGCGCGTGGCTCTGCCTGGGATCTGTCATCCGACGTGCGTCTCAAAACTGACCCCATCCTCTTCCCACTCCGAGGGTTGTGGGAAACCAGGGATCGAGCTGAGAGAAGCTTGTGGTGTAGTAGAAGGAGCCAGGGCTTTCGAGGCGGACAGAAGTGGAGTTAGATCACATCTGGCTCTGGGGCCTCGTAGCTGAATGTCCTTGAGCCAATTATCCAGCCTCTCGGGTCTTGGTTTCCTCATCTGTAAGATGGTGATAATCACTCCTTCTTAACAGAGTTAGAGGTAGTTTGGACTATTCAATGGTAATGTATACAAGGTCTGGGAAGGCAGGGATTTTGTCTCAGAGCCGTTTCTGGCCCAGAGCGTACCTGCAATTCAATACACAGCAAGCATTGTCGTCCCGCTACGGACAGCAGTGATGGGGGGGTTTATCCAGGTCTTTATCCTTTCCTTCGAAGGACAACGCCTGGAATTTTGTGCTGTTGTCCTCTTGCATTCGCTGCACTTGCGAAAGACCGTAACGCACGGCCCCTGCGGGATACAGGTCATCTACTGGGGAGACGGGAGTGCAGTCTGCGGCCTCCCGCCTCGTCTCAGACCGAAACCAGTAGGAAAAGTGTGTTTGGCTTAGATCAGGACAAGGGGAGAGCAGGAGGGGCCCGGCGCAGGCCGTGAGGGGAAGGCTGTCCCGGGAGGGCTGAGAGAGCTCTGCCTTCACCCCGAGCCAAACCCGAAGGTGACGGCCAGGGTATGGGGCTCTGAGAAGGCAGGTAAGCGCACCTCCTGGAATTCGGGGCAGGCGTTCAGTGGGCTTCTTTTTATTTGGTGCTCTCTGGCCAATGAAGAGTCTGACTTCCACGTTTTCTCCTCTGGATTTTTCAACAACATTAACCGGTTGCGGTGACGCTCCCGTCTCCCCACACACTTCTCAGAAAGAAAGTTGGGGTGTTAGTGCCTGCCTTTGCTCTAATGTCCAGAGGCCCTTGAGATTTTCTCTTCTCTACACGCAAATCGTCCAGCGTGACATTAAGACCAAGGTGCTACTGATGAGGCCAAACGCTATTTCGAGAAGAAAAAGGGGGCCAAAAAAGCACAGGACTCTCCTAGTGGTCAACCATGGAGCTGTTCCTACGGAAAACTTGTACTTGCTTTGCAGGAAGAGAAGTATCACTGGGGGAAGTTAGCGGGAGTTCTCAAACTTGACATTCGAGGGAGTTCAGAGAGGGTCACAGTGAAGCTGGACTACAGTTTAATGGCGTTCCAGCTCCGTCCTGCGATAGGACCTACAGCTGGGAGGGCAAAAGCTACGAGTGAGTTACTCTTGAACCTGTCTTGGCCTGTGGCTGGCAAACCTAATCACAGGGAGGGAGAAGTTGAGAAGGAAGTGCTCTTCGTGAATACTCACCTTCTGGGGACGGGAGGAAGTCACGTGATACTGGTTTCCGTCTGCCCTGCCCCCTACCGCTCAAGCTGCAAATATCTGAGTGCACAGAGTATTTCAAACTCCATGACCTTGCCCTGGCTTTAAAAGGCCCCTTTTTCTCCCCAAGGCTCCACAGAGATCTCCCCTACACGGTGGTAATTTGGACTGTTTCATAGATAGCGAAACCGAGGCACGGACTGGCTAGCCAGGGTCTCAGACCTAGTCTGTGACAAAAATAAGAGTTGAAACCCAGTTCACGAGACAACTTAGATTACATTACAGTTTGGGCTCCAGAAAAGGTAGGAGTCAAGGAGACCAGCGTAAACCCTGCTCTCCCAACACCCATTATATTACGGAACATGCTCGTTACCAATAAACAAGGTGATTTCTCTAACGCTCAACCTCTTTCACCGTAAAGCAGAGATTTGCCTCAATACCTCCCTCGCAAGAGTCAGAATTAAATGAAGGAAGAGCTACAAAAGTCCCCTGAAAAGTGTCTAGCACACAGTTACTTCCCTCTACATATATATGTTCTCAGAGTCCGTGCTATTGGACTCAATAGGTCCATTCGGTAATGTAATGAGAACCTACTAGTTGGAAAGTGTTTGCAAGATGTCTTAGGGGACACAGAGGTGTTTTGGCGGCTGGTGTTTTCCCCTTTTAAGGAGCTTGTATTTCCCTGGGATGGTTAAGACACCATCGCACGGAGTTCCTGAAATAACTTGACCAGAGTGAAATCAGTATTTTACGGGTTTTAGGAGTTTCAATATCCACACTGACGTATTTCTTCTTTTGTAGGCTTTATTGCTTTTTCCACCATGCCAGAACTGGCTCAGAAAATCAAAATGTATTTTGCTTTAGCACCCATAGCCACTGTCAAACACGCCAAAAGTCCTGGCACCAAATTTTTGCTGCTGCCGGATATGATGATCAAGGTATGTGAGTCCTCAGAGAACTTCCTGTCTGTGTAGAAGGGTCTCCAACCCGATTTGCCACGACACGCAGAATATAAAATCGACATAATGATCTTTTGACTTTATGACGGTGCGAAAGCATTCACTAGAAACCATACTTTGAATTCTGAATGTTGATCTCTTCCTGGGCTAGTGACATTTGGTATGATCCTTTCTCGGCAGCCACAGCTCCTGGGCAACCACAGGGTCACGAGGGTCAACAAATGATACACTTACCACCCTTCTGTCCCCACACAGCCACTGTTTGTCACTTTCGGCGCAGTACCCAATAAATTACACTTTATTATAAAATAGGTGTTGGGACGCCTGGGTGGCTCAGTCAGTTAAGCGTCCGACTCTTGATTTCCACTCAGGTCTTGATCTCACGGTTCATGGGTTTGAGCCACACATTGGGCTCCATGTGGACAGTGCGGAGCCTGCTTGGGATTCTCTCTCTCTCTCTCTCTCTCTCTGCCCCTTCCCTGCTTGTGTGCTCTCTCTCTCTCTCACTCTCTCTCTCTCTCTCTCAAAATAAATACATAAATATTTTTACATCTCCTTTAAAATAAATAGATAAATAAAATAGACTTTGTGTTAGGTGACTTTGCCCAACCGTAGGCTAATGTAAGCATTCTGATCATGTTTAAGGTCTGCTAGGCTGAGCTATGATATCAGTAGTTTAAGTGTATTAAGTGCATTGTTGACTTTGGATATTTTCAGCTTATGATGGGGTATTATTGGGGACATAACTCCATCATAAGTTGAGGAAGATCTGTATGCTTTTAAATTAGACTCACTTCTTTTGAACTCTAATGTAATAACTACTACCCCATTTCATATTTTTACAGGGGCTGTTTGGCAAAAAAGAATTTCTGTACCAGACCAGATTCTTCAGACAGTTTGTTATTTACCTGTGTGGTCAGATGATTATTGATCAGATTTGTAGCAACGTCATGTTACTTCTGGGAGGATTTAATGCCAACAATATGAACATGGTAAGTGGGAGCCTAATAAATCCTGTTTCCACTAGGAGTGATCGGTCTCAGTCCCTGAAAGTGAGCTACTACAGGGCAGGCTTAGAGAAATGACATACACCAACTAATTTGGTTTTCTTCAAATCATACTAACACGCAGAAAATACTTCAACACGGGCTGAGTCAAGGTTGACGTGAGGGCATTGCTAGATATTAACTTCGTAGATTATGGATGGAACAGGTGTGAGAGCAGCTCTACTGAGGTAAGTTAACTGCCAGACATCACACACCTCTTCTTTCTCCGTAGGTCCTTCCAGTTTGTAGTTTAAGGGGACGTCTTGGAATCTCAGTTCAGCTTAGGCATAGCCACCGTTGGTGGGGTCGCTGGCAGGTTTCCTCAGAAAACACCATCTGAGTTGGAGATTAGTGTGCAGAATGATTTGGAGTGAGACCCTTGGGATGGCACCCAGGGCAGGGAAGGAAGCAGGATTCAGTAGACTGAGAGCGTCAAGTCACTATGGGGTCTCAGTGGGAACCTCGGTTGATGTGAATATCAGATGACCCTTCCAAGCTGTCCCAAGTCAGAGTGAAGGGGTTGGTCTTTATAATCCCGCTTCAACCCATCACTTACTACAGATGTCACCGGGGGAGACGTTGGGCAGGACAGCTCTCTGCAACTGGGACGCCCCCCCTCCCCCAACTCCAAGGAAGTCCAACAGTCTGCCTGCCACGCTCCCAGCAGCCGGGGGCATACGTCTTTCACTCCTAAAGATTTTTTTCCCTTTTTTATTAATAATATCATTAATAGCTACCATTTATTATATGCCAGGCTAAGTGATTCCCTATAATAACCCTATGAGACAGGTATTATCAATACGTCCATTTATAGACTAGTATCCTGAGACTTAATGCATTAAATACCTAAAGAATTAATTAAATAAATAAATAATGCATTAAAGAACTCCCAAATTGAATGGCAGAGGTGGGATTTGAATACAGACCCGGTTCTAGAGCCCTCATGCTTAATTATCTTAGTCAAGCTTTTAGAAGAAGTCAGATGTCTAAGGAGAAGCTGTTCTCAGATGAAAAAATACAGGTGCCTGAGAATACATTTAGTGGCATTTTTAAAAGTTATGTGCATGTGTATATGTCTGTTTCGTAGATAATTGCTGCTAAACTAACGATATTCCCATGTCTTCCTCTGACCCCCTGGAGATGTGGTCTTGTCAAGGTGCACATCTCGTGAGTTTTCCCACGCCCCACAAACCACTCGTGCTTTGTTACAGAGCCGAGCAAACGTGTATGTGGCGCATACGCCCGCCGGGACGTCTGTGCAAAATATCCTACACTGGAGCCAGGTAGGAACGTCGCCTTGGCTGAGGGTCTTTGTGCGTCTTGTCTGAAGTAGTCGAAGGATGTCCTTTTGACTGCGCAAGTGTTATTTCACATGTATTCCAACAGGAAACGTGATCCTGTCAATGCTGTTTCCACTGTGGATTTAATCTAGAGCAGTGAATCTTTTCAGGAGATGGGAGGGAAGATGGGAGGGAGATGGCTCAAGGAATCTTGGGTGGACCTTAAGAACGTGACTTCAGGGATGCCAGCGTGGTTCAGTCGGTTAAGCATCCGACTTCAGCACAGGTCGTGAGCTGTGAGTTCGAGCCTGCTTCAGATTCTGTCTCCCTCTCTCTGCCCCTCCCCTGCTCAAGCTCTCTCTCCCTCTCTCTCTCAAAACTAAATCAACACTAAAAACATTTTTTTTGAAGAATGTGACTTCAGATGGTCTAAGAGAGACCTATCTCTGTCCCTGGACA